CAAAGGAAGGAAGGAAAAAAGGAGGGAAGAAACCAAGAAATAAGGTACCAAGGATGGAACCAAAGAAGGAAGGAACCAAGGTGGGAAGGAAGGACAAAAGGGAGGAAGGAAACAAGAAACCAAGGTACCAAGGAACCAAAGAAGGAAGGAATTAAGCAAGCAAAGATGGAACGAAGGAAGGAAGGAAAAAAAGGAAGGAAGAAACCAAGGAATCAAGGTACAAAGGAAGGAACCAAAGAAAGAAGGAACCGAGGTGGGAAAGAACCAAGCAAGGAAGGATGGGACAAAGGAAGGAAACTAGTATGGCAATAAGAAGGTGTAATTCAAAGTCAGTACTTGTCCAGACTGTATGGACCCTTAATAACACCAACCATAGGGACTGTATGGTAATAACTGCTATCTCAGACACATACGTTCAGTTTAACAACACCTCTAAAATCATTCACAGTAAATATCTAAAGTCGTAGGGAAGCAGCTGTTCCATACATTGCATTTACGAATTCTCCAGAGAGGTGCACGACTTTACACGAGTGAATAAAGTGAATGTGATTGGTCATTTATCAAGGGGGATGGGATTGTTGTGGTGGAAGGTTCGCAAACAAGTTTGTTTGTGGCTGGTTTATTGGAAGCATCTTGCTTACCAGTTAGCAACTTATTTCAACCGTTGCATATATTAGCTGCAACATATGAATCAAGATGCTATGACCGAAAAAATTAGATTGACAGATGACCGTTGATATATGATTGGCCAAATTTAGGTGTACAAGCTTAAGTAATACTAACTGGCCTGCATAAAATAACAGAAAAACAACACAGATTTTAACACAGGATTTTTTTTTTTATAGAAACGTTCTAACTTTTTGGACAATATCGTCCAATAAAGAGCACATTTACATACATTTTTAAGCCAGAATGATTTGACATTTAAATATGACTTCCCTATGACTTTAAACAGCCTCAAATTACAGCATTGTCATAAACCACTATGTAAACATGGCTACGTTTTATTCAGAAATAAACATTTTGGTTTGGCTTAATTAAACAATGAAAAATAACTTAATTCAGACTGTGGAATCTAAGCCGGTATGCCACTGGAAATCCAGCTTTAATGAATAAATATTAGTTGACCCAGTGCAAGTGAGTGCAGGATTTAATCAAATGTAAGCCACAAAGCAGTCCCTTTGTATTTTCCCAACGCTTGATCATTGAAAGGCTGCGTTTGCTCCACTGATCATGGACCTCAGAGGTTAGACTGATGAGCTGAACACAAAAACCAATAAGGCAGCTCAATTACAGCAAAATACAGCACAACAAAGACGGAGCTTTTTTACACATATCATTTTACTAAAAGTAGTCGCTTGTCTACCTTGACTTGACTTGCAATACTAATACCATCAACCAACACATCACTGAAAAGTGAGGTTCACGTTTTAGACTCATTGTGTTTGTCTTTATTTACATGATTGAAATCACGCAAATATTTTATAGTCTAAATGTAAACATTTATTACCGGGAAAAAAAACAATAAATGTCAAATGGAGCAGCATTGCATGTGACCTTGTGTTTCTGTTTATGTGTTTGTAAGGTAGGTATTTTTTTTTTTTTTAGCTTTCAGCTAAATGCCACTCTGTACAGCAGAAAGTTTAAATATGGCAGAAAATAAACTTCTTAAATGTTTTGTTTTCCAAAATATTTCCATATAAGCCCAACAGACTACTAGAGACAAGATGAGCATCATGTCCAGTAACTAACAGAAGCCATGATCTTCAGCTTGAACAATGGCAAAGCAGGGGTTACTGACACCCAAACACAGAGACTGAAGGGAACAAAGTCTGTATTGTTTCAGTGATTGCTAACATCATCATGGCGGAAACCAGCGGAAATTAGGGCGTCCATCAGGCTGTCATGTTGTTAAACTGCTGCTGATTGGTGACCTAGCCGATAAATTACTCTCATCTATGGGTTGGTCATTTGACCCAGAACTAAATGCAAACTGCACACTTACATACTGAAAACAAAAAAAGGAAACAGTTAATGGATTTCCTTCTGCTTCACACTGAAGGCAAAGAGAAGTGAAACAAATGAAGTTAATTGGTTTAGAGACGAAAGCTGCTGTATGTCGACTCATAATTCTGTAGGACAATTTTATGCTTTGTTAATTCCTGTAAGTGCTGCTATTCTTAGACAATTAGAATAAACAGGTTTAATTTATCATGTGTAAAGTAATTAGATGTGCAAAGCCAAGACAACTTGGGGACCACCACAATAGACCTGATACTTTGTTCTAGATTTATTTTGGTGAAACAATTTGTTGATACCTGGAGGATTCACGAAGGTTGTTGGTAAAATAAGACCCTTGAATGTTGAACTATAAAGGTGCATTCAGACAGAGCCCGGTGTCTGCAGTGATTTAGACCAGCACTGCAGGGAGTTAACCACTCTGCATTTCAGATGCACGGTGTTTACACTGCAGACTGCAACATCAAATCGGAGGAGCTTCAGCTGCGTGAAGCTGACACCCCACCCACATAAAAAAACTCAGCAAATAAACTGAAAGGATGGTACTTCTTTAGGGCAGGCTTGTGCAGTTAAAATCATCATTTGTAAAAAGAAAAATTAACACTATAAAAAGATCATGTGTGCTACTTTTGTTTCTGTGACATTTTTTCAGTACTACATGATTTGTTCAGGTGAAACAGTCGTTTTTGCTGAATTAGTTTTTAAAAATGGTGTGATTCTTAATGCCGAACGATGACATCACCATGCTGTTTTAGAATCGCTTACATTTTTTAGTTCATCAGCCTCCGAGGTTCTTCATTTTGGAGCCACTGTTTCCGCTGGCAACACAATGGCATTGCCTGTCAAAGTCTCGCTATCGGCATTTCAGAATAAAAGCACTGGTGAAACGTGACGTTACCGACTGCTGCAAAAATTTTATGAATCAGTGTTAAGGGACCATAATTATGAAAAAGCCCTGGAAGCGCTGAAAAAGTAGATTACTTTGGGTCACCCTGGGTGATGGTCGGATTCAGCCGTACCTTTCATGTAAATCTACCCGGGCAGAGAGCACCAACGCTGGGCAGCGACAGACTGGGGTCTGTGCTGGAGGTAAGGGAGGACAATGAAGAGTCCTTCTAGAACTAAATATTAGAACTTTTTGTAAAGCCACCTAAATACCTCTCCAGAGCATTCCTTCTTTAATCTTTTGTCAACATTATTATTATGTTCTATTCTGGCTGATGTAGGTTTGTTCAACCGTCCCACTGTGAGATCATCATTTTCAATATCAGACACTGTCTGATATTCATTACATTAAAAAAGCGACCTAAATGGTACTGAACAAGGTGATGGAAGATAATAGATTTAGAGCTACGACCAAAGATTCTTCAACCATTTTCTAAAAGGCCTCCACAGAGTCACATTCTTGCTGCATAACCCAAATGCACTTAAAACTAATGTTACAAAGTAATAGCTGAATATTCTCTAGAGTTGTATTCCTGGTTTTATCACTTACAGGACATTGTCAATCATGGATCATCAAGACTTCTATCGTTTTAGATTTTTTTTTAAATTAAAGAGTTTTGTTGTTTTTTTAGACAATAAATGAGGGAGTTAGAAAACCATTTCTATTTTTGTACATCCAAAACAGTTTTTTTTTATTCTTAGCAAAAACAAAGACAAAAACAAAAGAACATCACGCTAATGGAAATGAATAAATCCAGAAATATTTGGAATTCTTGGTTAAGGCATTTAATCAGAGGAAAACAAACTGTCTTTCAGTAATTATCCTGTCCATCACCAAACGGAGCCAATGAAGGAAAAAGCACATTCCGATCTGTCTCTTGCCAACTGTGCTGCACTCCTTATATTTTCAGTCCACCGTTTATTGTGAGGGGCTTATAAGGCACAACGTCAATGAATCAAACTTAAATAGAGAGTGAAACAGAGGTCAGCCATTCAGTTGGAGTCTTTGTGAATCAAGGTGGTGCAGAACAGTCTAGTTTGGAAAAAGAAAAAAAGAGGAGTGTGCTCGTTGGCAAAGACCCAGAGACTTTACTAACAGACACGGCAAAACATGTTGAGGCCTAACAAGCCCTGCAGTGTCAACTTTCTTAACAGCCAACAGCAAAGAAGAACAACCACTCTTGACCTTCTTAAGAAGGAGTAACACATTAAATGTTTTTGTTAAGGAAAGGCAGAGCTTTTTTCTCCTAATTCGTGGATTTCATTTGTTTCATTTTTGCCATTTTTAACTCTGCACATCAACAAGTCAGACTCCCTTTAATACCTATTAGAAACAGAAAAATAAACAGAATCTTTTAGCAGAACTGGACTTTTCAGAATCATAACCAACCTTATTAAGGTTAAGGAAGCTTTGGTTTCTGCCTCTGATCATATATCAACAGCAGTTATATAAAAAAATACAAATGAAATGAAATATAGACAAGTAGCAGTAAGGACATGTGTGTGTTGGACATTCTGACTTTATTTATGATGGTGCCAAACTGCTTATATGTTTCCCAGCAGAGATTTAACTTCATTTTACAAAAAAAAAGAAAATAAAGCTTCTGCTTTTCAGCTTCCTGTATTTGTCAGGATTTACCAGCTTAGTCGACCAAAGAGAACGATATCCTAACAGAATTTAAAGGGTTCTAGTCTATCCAGCAAATCAGGAATTGAGAAAGACTTCATAACATTTAGAATAAGTTTGTTCTTTAGAGCCAAACATGTGCATGTTACTTACACACATGCGTGTAGATGTATTTCTATGCACTGCTTAAACTTAGATTTCCTTGCTTTACAGCTCTGTGACATGCCGACTCTAGTAAACAAACACACACAATAAATCTGCCTCATGACAAGCTGTCGAGATAGAGCAGCTTTGGGAGTCATGTCTGATAAATCCAGCTTCTCGCACCACATGACACCTCAGTTTCACATTATCACGGTCCTGTTGTCCCCCTCTGTGTGTGTGTATTGTTTGTGCGTGTTGTACTCACCAACACCTGGCCAGGTACATGTGTTCTTTGACAAAGACGGATCCAGAGAGCAGAACGTACCAACAGGTAGCAAGACTGTCTGGACTGGAAAAGACAGAAATCATTGATGAGCTTTATTCTCCTACACACTTTTTAATGTCAAAGTTCTGAAGTAATAATACCAGAAGTTCACTGCTGAAATTTATATGGTTATATGGCTTAAATGCTAAAACCTTTGAAAACAAAAAAAAAAAAAAAAAAAAAAAGGAAGGCAAGCGGACAGATTGTGTGATAATAAAAGCAAGATAGAAAGCAGGATTTGCTCGACTAATGGATAGACATATGAAGACGAGGGCTGGGTATTTTTGCCAAAGTCCTGAATCGATTCGATTTATATTCATTCAGTTCTAAATCGATTAACTTCGATTTGATCCGTTTTTACAGTTATGAAAGTGGTTTAACTGTGTTTCAAAATACTCATGTATTTTATCTTTTCCTGTCACATCAAACGCAAAGTGCAAACTTGTCAGACAGTTTAAACTTGAGATGTGAGCAAAACTGTCTCAAAAGTGCAAACTTGTTTGTGAAAAGTGAAAAAGTCTGACATGAGCAAGCAGATGTCACACAGCAGGGACACAGCAGACATGCATGAGCTGCATTATCTTCACTGCATAAACTATATTTGCAGCATTGTCTGTATCAACAGCCTCCATTGTTAATGTCTTCAGTCAACCTATTGGCTATATTTACAGCTGTCTGGCTTGAAGTCATCTTGAGTGCATCTTTCCTGCTCATTTGAATGTGAACGTCATGTACTAATCAATCTCATTCCCTAGACATCGATTTTGCAAAAATGTAAAGGAATCGATTTAAAATCGATTAAAAAAATTTTTTACCCAGCCCTAATGAAGACGAGGCTAAAGGATAGGAAAAAGTCAAGACTTTTTCAAACTTGATTGTTTTCCTTTAATGTTTCTTCAAATCTATAAAGTACTTTATTAAATCTTATCTTATACATATACACAAATAAAAGTGGTGGTTATTAACTATAGCAAACACATTTCAGAACTTTATGAAGCATGTAAAATAGATTTTGCATTGAAAAAGGAGAAAATATTCAGTTAAAAATCTAGGGCATTAATGCATTAATTGCGATCAATAAGAAATAATGTTCCTTTGATTCCCATTGAAGACTATGGTTAAATATTCCACTTTATGAGCTTAGAACTGCCTTGATATGCAAAATAACAGTATTTTAGACAAGCGATACAAAATGCGCTTAACAGCAGTGAACCTGATTAATCGCAATAAAATAAAAGTCCTAATTAAATCTCATGGTTTAACTTTTCTACCTACTTTTGACACAGATTTTAAAGTTCCCTCCAAAATAAAGCTTGACTTTATAAAACATTGAGCAATGCTGACTCTAACCTCTAACACTCATGGTCCTTGTTGTTAGTGGTTTTATATAAGTTTTAATGTTAATCAAAGATCAGTTACAAAGACATGAATAAGTCTCCAGTAAGCAGAGATTTAGTATGATTGACACGAGTAAGTCAGGAGGAACAGATTATGTTAATGTTGCTGGGCTTATATAAGCCTAATCCTGCAATACTGAGTCATAAAAGATGGAATAAGTCATCGCTTGCAGAGAGATGAACATTAATTCTCATTAAAATGACATAATGTGCTGTTTGAAAAGGAAATTGGGCTGTGGATGTTGACATCCATAACTTTTCTGTCACATGTTTATTTTTCTAAGCATCAAATAAATCTTGCATCAGTAAGAGCTGGCAAAGAGTCTGTTATGTTGCTCTCAACTTTGGTTACTTTTTTCTGAAGAAATATAGTAATTAGGTCACAGCAAGTCAATCAGGTAGAGGCCCGGGCTTTGAATAGGCCAATTCAAAATATATTAGCTGATAGATATTAGGGCTGCAACTAACAATTATTTTGCAAATCGATAAATTTGTCGATTATTTCTTTTATTAAATAATCGGATAGCAAAAGGTTCCTTAAAGAAGACTTTTTGCTAAATTAAACAAGGTGAAACTAAAATGATTCCACTTGAGGAGTTCTAGCATATTGACAGACAGAAAAGCTTTTTTTTATCTTAAATGTAAAAAATTTTATATATTTGTTTTTACAATTTTGCTATAATTGCATCCATCAGCTAAAGGCATGTTTCAGCGTATCTGTACTCCAGTTAACGATTATTCGATTAATAAATTAGTTGACTGTTATTACAAGTTCTAAAAATAATTGTCATTGTTTCATGTTCATTTTTCTTTAGTTGGTCCCAAAGATAAAGTAACGTCATTACAGTTATTTCCAGAATGATGGATGGAAGTGAATACTTCGAATATTACATTTCCAGACCTGATATTTTCATTTTTAATATCCCTCTGCCTACTTCATGCAGTCAGACAGAGCTACTGAAGACATTTCTTGATTGATTACTCTGCTACTTGATGACTACTCTACAATGCGACACTACAACAGCAATAAATTGTGCAATTTATAATGTGCAATTTACCATTTGATACCCTGTGCAATAACTGCTTCTCTATATTTGATATCCAGTGCAATAATTATATATATATAAATATGAAGATCCCTCCATATAAATAGTCATGTCAACACCATGTAAATAACCTGGTATAATGATCCTACTATTAAAAAAAAAAAAAAAAAAAATCAATCAAGTAGGTCTGCCAGGACTTTGGTATCAGGGTGGTCTTTTAAAGGATCTGGTTCAGAGCCTTTAATACCTTCCAAAATGATTTAAGAACTGCTTTTGTATGAACTCCAGTTTTTTCTGTCAGATACGATTTGATTAAGGATCCAAAGACATGCGAGTGTGACAAAGATGTAGAGGAAATCTGTTAAAGGGGCTTTTATATGTCAGAATAGACTTAGAAATGAAGTAAACTGATTAAAAAATTAAAAAATATCATCTATTCTTAAAGTTATAACTCAAAACCGTATGACTCCGCTAACCGTTTTACTTTTTTTATGTGTTAAACATTCTTAATGTTTCAAGAAGTACGTTAGCACTAACTCTTTTTATATAGTTTTATGTTATTCATCATTACATGCTTTTAAAAAGGAAAAATATATTCTCACAACACTCTGCTTAAAACCCTTAAGAGGGATTTTGTTTCTCGGCTTGTTGGATCTGAGTGAGGCCGATGCGATTAACTATCAGCACAGTTTCATTGAGCAGACTTTGATGGCCTTTATCAGCTGTTTTTTTGTGTGTGCAGCTGAAGACTAATTGAACATGGCAGCAGCTTTGGTCGAGGTTAAAGTACTTAAGACTTGCCGCCGGTGGAGAATATCTATCACAGGGAAGGAGAGAGAGAGTAGGTGTGTGTGTTTATTTGATGGTAAATTAAACTACTGAGTGTCTAATGTGATTTTCAGTGAAGATGATAATGCATCAACATGTGGAGCATCTGTCTCATCCTTTCATCCATCGCTGTCCTCCCCTCTTCGCTCGCATCCCCCCCCACACCTCCGACGCCCCCGTCCGTCTTCCACCTCGTCTCCTCATTCCTCCTGTCAGCTCGTTTGTCATCCTCCTCCCATCTTGACACTGCTATTCTTTCCTCCTTCTGTGCTCTTTAGCATATTCACAATTTGTTTTCCTTCCTCCTCTGTGTTCACTCCTCATATTTTCATTAAGTCCACAGCTTATTTACCTGTTTCTACATTTTCCCATTCTGCCATAACCATCTCTGCCAACCTTTCAGGTCCATCTCGTTTATGTTTCTCCTTCCTGCTGGTCATTCCTCCAGTTTTATCTCTGGGAAGTCTGATTTAAAAGCATGCACCCATTGTGACCAGAGCGGGATTTTAGATCAAAGCATATTTTTGTGCTAGAACCAAAGTCCAGAGCCAAACCAAACTGAGAATCTGTGCAAAGACTTGCAAGACAACACTGATTTCCAGTTATGTTGCAAAGAGGAGTTTAGTCTCAGAATGTGCAAAACAGGGAGACAAACTCCAAAGTAACTGCGGCTATTATATACTGAAAGAAGGTGAATATGATAAGTTTCGGATCTAACCAGTTGCTCAGTAGCACAACAGGGCACTGAACTCTCACTAGTTCCTTTTACACTATAAACCTCAGACTTTCAGTACAACACAGAGTCCTGGAACCCACTGATATACTGATATATAGGGATGGCAATCAAAAACGAATTCCTGTTCAGAACCGGTTCCATGTGTTCCAATTCCACAGCACCTTTTGGCAGCTCGCTTAACGATTCTCTTATCGATTCCAGGCAGCGACAGAGCCTAGGGCTCTGGGCAGCACGACTTACGTCACGTTTTTACGCAAGTTACGCACACGGCATTCAGTAAGCAAGTAGGACGTGACCAGGCATAAGTCTAGAAAAGCAAAACAAAACAAAAAATGGCGCCCCACTGGGTAAAGCGATCGAAAGTTTGGCTTCATTTTAAGGAAGAGAAAAATAGCAACAAGGCGCTTTGCAATCATTGCAAAGGGGCAATAACATTCGCGTGAGGAAATACATCCAACATGCAGAGACACCTGCACACACAACATGGCATACAGTTTAACGAATGCTGTGTTTTTGATGCCTTCCGGACAGAAGCTAAAGTTACGACCAGCATAGAAGGCAACTCTGGTGGTAAGTAGCTAGTTTTATATCATTGGCTGTGCTTAATGTGGTTCCTGGTAAATCATATGCCATTTCTGGAATTAAATCAATTTCCTACCTCTTTTTGGGGAGTGAGGGAAAGGTGACGCTCGTTTATTTAAATCAGGGGGAGAGGAGTTTATTTCCCGAAATTGTACAGTAATGCTTTTTAATTAAACGGATGCCGAATACTAGATTTAGATGACCGTGACGAGACGGGTGGCTTGGCTGTCTCAGACTCTGGCAGCTGCGGTTCAGTGCCTTCTGTTTTTGCCGAGGCAGGCAGAAAAAGAATGTCCCAGGCGAAGGTAGACGAATGTCACCGTGCACTTATCAAGTTCATTGTTTCACAGAATCGATAAGAGAATCACCAAGGAATTGAATCGTTTCACAGAATCAATAGGGGAATCGGGATTTTGAAAATCGTATCAATTTCCCAAACCTACTGAGATAATAGAGATGTAGTGAAAGCTAGACCTTTAAAAACTTTCTTGTTAAAACTGATTATTTTCTTTCACTTCGCTGTCCAGCACTGCTTTGTTAGTCTATCCCATAAAATGTCAATAAGCCACAGAGGAGTCTTGCATTGCACAACAGTTCAGTGGGTCGAATTAGAGCAGAATGATTTGGACAAAAATCCATATTGTGATTATTTTTGACTGATATTGTGATTGTGATGTTATTTCAATTTTCCTTTTCCACCAACCACAAGCTTGTAGATGTTTTCTAAACGAGTTTCAGTTTCTTGTGACCTTGAAAGCTTGCTTGTAGCAAGACTGTAATATAACCTTCGCTTGACAAAGTGCTTACTTCTACACGGATGCGTGGATCGAATGCTAGCTGAAACTCTCTGTAACTTTCTGTGTGGTAATAAACTCACTTTAAGTTTATTACTTCCCCCAAAGAACTGCAGTGAAAAATTTAGTGTATTTTTTATTGTTAAATGATAAACAACCAAAACTGAGTGCTAATGTGATTTGAAAACTGCATTTTGTTAAATTGCGATTATATTGTAAATGCAAATAATTGCCCATCCCTAGTACTTTTGCAATTCATAGTAGTTACTTGCTGTTAACTCAAAGGTTCCAGTTACCGTTAAGCAGAGCAGAAGGTAGATGAACACATAGTAAATGCAGCAAATCATGGCAAGTGCAGTTTGTGTTTAATGTAAGGTTTGTACTTACTAAAACAGGATGTGGTTAGCTTCATATCGCTCATATCTGGCAGAGGTGCACATCGACCTGGGAGAGAAAGGCCAAGATGTCAGCGTAGTGAAGGTGGATAAATAACGGTCTAAAGTGGAAACCAATCAGACATTTAGTGAAGGACTATCAAAGAGACAAAGCGGGAATTGTAAAGACAAATCAAAGATGGAGATAGAGAAGAGAGATCACATCTCTATGCATTTCATGTCTTCAGAGGACCAATATATTGGTGAAATGCCTTTAGTGCATCAATGCATAAGAAGATAATAGGCAGTGGATGAGAATAATCCCATGCAACATTTTGTTTTAGATAGAACTTGATTAGATAACTAAAATAGGAAAAAACAAAACACGCCAGCTAATAGGCAGTGGATGAGAATAATCCCACGTAATTTTGTTTGAGATAAAACAGGATTAGATTAACTCAAATAGAATAAACAAACAAAACCTATCAGCCAACAAATCCTTTTCTGCTCTAAATGTCCACTCTCTCCAAGGTTGAATACATTATAAATAGCTGTATCATTAGCTGGAATCTGCAAGCAGCCAAACAAACTCAGCCATACTGGATAGGTCTAAAGGTTGAAAGACAGACTGTAAGCATTTATAGGGGAGTTTGAGGTGGTAGTCTGTCCCTGAGACATAAAAGCTACGGTCCATGTAAAGCAGGGGTCACCAACCTTTTTAAGGCTGAGGGGTACTTCATGGCTACCGAGTTATAGGTAGGGCTACCAATACTGACCTATGAACTGGAGGGATCAGTGTTCACCTACAGTAAATCTCATCCATAAAAACTCATTTTTATTCTTATTTTAATCTTTTATTCATTTCTAATTTTCTTTTTAATATTGTCATTTTGAAACCACTGAAATATGATGAAATAGTTAACATGTTTAAATAATACATAAATGATTAAAAAGAACAGCAACAGAATAAAAAAAATAATTAAACTTAACCCACTGAGTTCTTCTGTTTTCAGAAGACGAAGAGGGCACCCCATGTGGTCCTTGAGGGCGTCTCGGCGCCCACGGGAACCGCGTTGGTGATCCCTGATGTAAAGCCTTTTCTTAAACCCTTGTTTTGTGTTTCTGATATTAAGCTCATTGTCTGATAACTTGGCTTCTAAAGCAGAGGTTTGAAACACATCAAGCATGAACTAAAGGAGCCAGACTCCAGACCTACCACCCTGCCTCCTTAAAATATATCTTTTCTAGGAACACAATCACAGCGAATTAAATGGCAAAATGACTTCCTTAGGATCTCATTCAGAATTAAACCTTGTAATGATTTGCTTGTTGAATTTATGGATCAATCAAAGACAACGTGCTCATGATTTTGTTAACTTGGTCTCTAATGTCCTACAGCCAGAAAGAGTCCGATCTGCCTGTAAGGACAAGCCTTGGATCAGGCTCAATCTGACTGCAGTCAGCAGAAATGGAGCATTTGTACCACAGCGCTTATTGTAGAATTTTAAGCAACAACAAGCTAGTAGTGTTATGGCAGGACATTTTTTATGCTTTTAGGGTTTCATTTAGTCTGTTGTGCACAGATATCATGATTAAAATGTTGTCATGATGTAGAAACGCTAGAAACAGAACAAAACCATCCTGCTCTGAATGTATTACTTTTCTATATTCAGAGCCAGCAGCAGAGTATATATCTTAAAGATCAGTATTCAGCCTAGATAGATGGTAAGTTATCCTATATACTGATGGTTATTACAGAGATGGTTTGGGGAAAAAAAATATCAGAAAATAACCAAAAGGCAAGTATTGAGTGTCTCAAAGCAGCTTAATAGGATGGAACAGAAAATAAAAGACTCACCTTAACTGGTGTTCCCTAAGGTGTGAGAGCACATCCATGTGGTAGAGGTGGCAATAGATGATGTGTAGGTCCTGCCCAACATAAAGAAAAGAAAAAAAATGTTTTAGGTTAAGTTCCATTTAGAAAATGCATTAAATTATTCCATATTTCTAACCAAGAAAAAAGCTAAAAACAAAGAATACATTCATATGTGGTTCCTTTAATGTAAAACTGCTTTGACTCATGTTTGATATTCACTGACGTTTGAAATGTTCTCTCATTCTTCAGAGAGAAACTAACGTCTGCACTGTATAAATCACATCAAGAGGTTCAAGCTGACAGTCGCCACTTGGCCTGTGTCAAACCCCGACTATTAAGTCGACACCCTCAAAGCAGACAGGCGGGCAGACCACTTATGTGCCCACATGACAGCAGGGACACGCGCACAAACAGTGATATACCCTCTCCTGGACTCAAAATAGACCTCTATCAGGGCCAGTTGTCAAAACATTCAAAGGACGACGGAGGGTCTGAGAACAGCTCCATAAGAACATCAGAGATCAAACAAATAGTCGGCTGTGGCTGCAAGATGCCCGCTTTCAACAGGTGGACTGTGCAGAACATATGGAAATAACATAACGGGCCGATTTCAGAAATAAAATCAATGTTTCTCTTATTTTAAGTGGTAAAAGAAGGAGAATTTGGTCTTATATAGAGATAGTTGCAGAAAATGCTTGAAAATGACTAAACCACTGAATACTACTTCATGCAGGAGGCACTACCAAGCTGAAACTCGGCCCAATCCCTAAAATATATGCACACAAAAAACGGCCCAATAGGGCTCATGTAAGTAATTATGTGAGAGAGAGAAATACAAATCTTTTTCTAATTTTATCTGTAAGTAATCTGCTGATTTTCAACTAGATAAGTCCTGATGGGTGAGTGGGGGAGTCAAAAATGCAATCCTTTTCAAAATAGGGGATTTGTCACAAATCAGTGCAAAAAAGTCACCGCCAATGACATCACACTTTGATGAAGATATAGGTTAAGAGCAGAAGACTCAAAGTTAGCTATTTGGAATCAGAGAGGTGTTTAAAAATAAAGTCATAGGAAGATAATCAGAGACAATTTAAAACTAATCTATTTTCGACCAAAAATAAATAACTTATGCTGGTATTGCAATAATATAAATCACAAACATCAGCTGTTATAGAGTCAATAAAGGTTTATGAGATCAACCATTTTAAAAAGAGAAATGATCACCGACTGGACAAGCAGGAAGGGATCCAAAGGAAAAAGGTCAGTTTGGCGGAAACCTGTTGCTTTGTGTTTGAAAATCAATGTTTGGTTTTTTTGTAAACAAAGCAGGCGGAAGTGGAGATGAACACAAAAGTGAATTTTTTTTTTAATGCAACGAACTTCTCAGCCTGACACAGGAAGGATAGTTTGGGGGAAAACTAGAGAGGGAAGGAAAAAGCTTTGGAATGAACGGCACTACGGATCAGATGAATTCCTGCCCTCCATCCTTTTGGGTGTAGTTTTTATCCAACCCACTGGTAGACCTTCCTGAAGGATAGAAGCATTTTGAGCCCAATGAAGGTTAATATTGGGCTTAAAGCTAACCAATGTGTTAAAAAAAAAAAAAAAAAGGGTTTGAGACACGAAGCATGATAAGTTCTTGGGGTCCTGTTATGTTGACACAATCAGGGAATTTAAACCTCATCTCCAGGTGGACTAAAAGCATCCAGAACCCAAACCGTGTTTTTAAGCAAACACTGAAACACAGCAAAAGCTTTCCAGAGGATTTAATGCTGTTATGGTCACATCGCCTAGGGGAGTGTTGGCCTAGTGGTTAGAACAATGCACTCTGGGTCCCTGAGCAAGACCCTTAACTCCACACTGCTCCCTGGGTGCCGAACAATGGCAGCCCACTGCTCTCAAAGGGGATGGGTTAAATACAGAGATTTAACTTCGTTGCTCTGTGCTTATGACAGCGTAACGACAATAAAGTTGAATTCTATTCTATTCTATCACATCCAAACCCTTTCGATCACTCAATATCAACTGTGTGTGAAGATGAGGTCTATGCAGATAACTCAAACATGGACTCTTTGCAGTGTTTTAATAGTTGGTGATTATCACTATCACTTGGTGATTATCACTACATGTGAGTTTAACATCACTGGTGGTGCAACAGCAAATGTTAAACCTTGTTTTTACTGATCCAAAGGCAGAGCTGTGGTGAGCAGACAGCGGTGACAAAGTGAAAGCCTATCGACTTTAAATTGCTGCTAACTGGGTTAGTGAGCACAACAATGTGCTGCAGTAAGCACTTCTGTTGAGCTGCAGCTCGAAAGCGCTACGACCCACAGCCTCAAGGCAGCGGTGGGTGGCACTTTTCCTGGCTTGTTAGGGAGCTCCTGATTTATCCTAAACACTTTGCTTGATTCAAAACAAACATCCCACTAACCTGCGGTTATGATGTTTGTTGACAACAAGGAAAATGTTGGTTAATAAACTCAGAATAACAGAATGAGCATCAGAACCAGAATCAGAGTGATTCCAACCGGAACCACCAACTGTCCCCATTCCATGCATTGATCAGCCTAGAGTGGGATGTCAAAGGATGGGATACCTACTCCTCTGTGGCTGCCCAGGGATTGGGGGGTGGGGGTAACATGATATCAGCTAGCCAGTGTTGTCCTTTCTAAGCCGTCGATACATGCAGACATACAGAGCACCACTTGGATCAGATCTCAAAGAGTGGTGGTTATCATTTCTCTTTCCCAAAGAAAAAGAAAAATCACATCGATGCATTGGATCATAATTATCTTCTGGATGAAAAATATAGTAGTTATTTAAGTTCTAATGTATTCTCTAGTCTTAGATGTTTGACTGCCATTTCATTAGCTGAAAGACCACGCGTCATTCCTCGGGGGTGTTCAGTCCTTAGCCTCTCTCAGGAGAGCAGAGCAAGGTTCCTCACCGCCTCCTGACCTCTGACCCATCCTCCCTGAATCTAAAGAGGTGACCTTAGGACCCCAGCTGTGATTAGGACGGGGAAATGTCAGGAGAGACATGCAATAACTCATCACCAGCCAAGGCTGAGCTTTTCCATTACCTTTATAAGATTATTTAGATGTGAACAAGATGTATTTGGATTCATTCAGTTCAAAGGAAAAAAATCAATTAAATCACAAATCCCTAATTAACTTGTTCATCGTTGTCACATTAAGTAAAAATTGAGGGATGACTGATTGAAAACAAGTTCTACTCATAACATGTATTTATCAGGAGATGCTACCATGCCTAGCAAAGCTACTCATTTAACTTCATCACAAAAAAGTAGCAAATAATAATTAAAGTTTGCTATTCCTTATTTTAGAAGATTAATATGTGAGAATTTAAAGGAGCAATAATGAAATTGAGGGTTTTTACCCGGAACACACAGATTTTAAACCATTTAGTTTGTAATTATCTCAAGCTGTTAACGTTATAACAATATGCAATTCAATTCGTCCTACTACCCAAGAATGCAAGAATAAAATCATCAATTTAAAGAACATATCACCCTTCACCTTCCCAAACATCTCAAAAATTGGTGGCAGCATCATACTGAGGGGATGCTTAACCTCATTAGGAACAATAAAGCTGCAATAACAATGGAGTGGTTTGGATCAAAGCGTATTATTGCATTAGAAAGGGACAGTAAAGACCCAGAGCTAAATTTGACTGAAAAACTAGAAATAATCAGATCACACTTGGGATCAACATGATCCAGGCAAAAGCTTTCAATAATCACTGCTGGTGGAGCGTTTTTTTTCTATGTGCAATTATTTCAGTGTTCATAATATCTACGTCCAATTTATTGATAACATAAAAACAAGAAAAGCACATTTGCAACAAAGTTAAATGAAACAATGGGCACGGTTAAAAGAACGCACAAACAAAAACTTGATTTGAAAAGCCAACAAACAGAGGTGGGCCTTTGAGCAATCTCTAGAAATCAGTAGAAATTTTGTTTTTGTTTTTTAACAAACTGTACAACTAACTAAATATGAGACAAGGCCAATAAGGCCTTAAAAAGAAAAAAAAGGGGGGGGTGTAAATGGAAATCATCAAGTTTATGCTGCTGTATCTAGCAGTCAAAGATAAAGTGCTGCTGCCACCTACTGGCAGACATAAGCAGTAATCATCAACAGATGTTGCTTATGAGAGGCACTGGAGTTTGAATCTTTATTTCCTTTTGCCCTTTTATCCCAGTGGAAGTCACGGCATCACTCTAAATCTGACAGGATATTGATGTTATGGCATTTTCCTGGAACATGTGTTGGCCATGGCTGAAGAAAATCTGACAGAAAAAAATCTTTGTTCCAAATCTTTTATCCCATGTGCTTTTCTTTTACCATGTCCCTCTTGGGATAAGATCACATTTGGGGGGAAAAAATGTTAATTATAACATTTTATTATCTAAATACTCCATGCCTCTGTAACACAAGAAGCACAGCTTCATCCTACGATGTGTTTCTAGAAAACAAATATTCCCTTTTCAGGAATAATCAATGTCCCTTTCACCAGCTTTAGAGGCAAAACAAAAAACAAAAAAACACCCACATTCACCAGAAAGGGCAAGGGCCTGTCAGGTCTGTCAACTACACAGAGGACACTGTGGACAGACTCTACAACAGGGCCTTTCAAGCTTGAAGAACAAACAGCTTTGCTAAAATCCTGCCTTTATAACTGTCAGATCAAATGGACCATTTGTTCCCGAGAGTCTGTGTCAGCACTGCGCTGGGATGCAGCATAAAAGCACCATATTTTATCAATAAAGCACAGGTGTAGGACTTTAAAAGAGCAATCCAAATGATTTCAAGTAAGAAGGTGAAGAAAATGATGGGGTATTAGTCACAGCTGATTTAATGTTTCCAAATATATGCAGAGAACATTATATTGAGGTAAATATATCTGTTTTCCATTCTCACTAAAGACGTAGGAGTGGAAATGTGCATGTGGGAAGTAAAAAAGTCTGATTTCGGTTTCTGCAGCTATAGAGAGACAGTAAACAGAAATGAAAGCCTGTCTGCAGGTGGGA